ATTTGAAAATGTGTAGGATAAAGAAAGAAGAAAACAAAGGCATCAAGATATCAAGAGTGATCACATTGTAGATCCCTGTTTTCTTTATTCTGTAACAGTATAATTAAAAAAACACCTGCGTACATCACCAATATAGAAATTCTGCAGCCAGTTCTAAGGAGGCGGTGCGTGCCTGCGTATGTGGCGGGAGAGGGAGACAGAAACACAGAGACACAAAGAAAGGAGGCAAACGGGCAGAAAGGAGGGAGTAAAGGAAACAGAAAGAGGGAGTGAGCTACTGGAATAGAAATTGCCTGAAAGAACCAGGGAATTTACAAATTAACTGAATAATGGACCATAGGAAAAGGAAGCGCTTAATTTTCCTTGTTAACGTTAGATGATTATTTTTCTTTACTTTTTTTCTTATTGTTCGTTTCAATTAGTTTCTAGCAATCCTATGCAGCAAAAGATGAAAGTAATATTTTGTATGTCATTTTAGCTGATGCATTCGGTTGTGCTTTTTACTAAACGTGGTCTTCCCCCATGGTGCCTATTATGGAGACATGACAGCCTGCTGCCTACTAGATTTAATCAGAGAACACTTAGGTATGGTACTTGTGATTTCCCATCAGAGAGCAGGTTGATCCATAAGCCCCCAATTCCTTACCAAAAAAAAAATAAACCACACAGAGCCTCCCGGTGGTGCAGAGGTTAAATTCCACCATTCCACCTCGGCGGCCCGGGTTCACAGGTTCGGATCCTGGGTGCGGATGTAAGCACCGCTGGTCAAGCCATGCTGTGGCAGGCATCCCATTTAAAATAGAGGAAGAGATGCACGGATGTTATCTCAGGGCCATGCACGGATGTTAGCTCAGGGCCAGTCTTCCTCAGCAAAAAGAGGAAGAGGAGGATTGGCAGCAGATGTTAGCTCAGGGCTAATCTTTCTCAATAAATAAATAAAAAATAAACCACATAAACCCAGAATCTTTGCATTAGTTTATAAAATGTTTGGTTTGCATCCAAGGCAATCATATCATCATATCAAAGCAGTATATATGTTGTACGTGCAGTATATCCTATAAAGCTCTGAAACCAGAATCTCTGAATCTGGATTCCAGCTCTACCTCTTATTAGCTCTGTAATCCTCTTGAAGTTACTTAACGTATCTTTATCCCATTGTCCACATCTGTAAAAGTAGGCAGATAGTAATACCTACCTCATAGATTTGCTAAGAGGATGGTAGGAATAAGCCATAAAGCACTTAGTATAATATCTAGCACAAAGTGAAATATGAGCATCTACATTTCCTGTTTACTATTATGGAGAAGGGACTTAGACACACAAACTAATTATATATATATATATATATATATATTTGCATGTATGTATATATAAAGAGGGGAGAGGGACAATTGAATAAAGGCAGAAAAATATATAAATGTTGAAATACATGATAGTTCTGCAAATTTCCCACAAGATGTTATTCACCAGATTTCAACATTACAATTATCTGTCCGAAATTCTTATACAACAAATCAAACTGCCCCTAATACTTCAAAAACTAATTTAGGAACAGAAAATACAACCAATTTTCTATTTACGATGGCTCCTAATTTTGAGTCTAAAAGCTAAAATTTAATGAATGTGGTTCTAAGTACTTTATGTGGATCAGTCCAGTTCTCACAAGCAGCCTCTCAGAGGAAGCATTGTTCACATCCTCCCCATCTGACAGACAAAAAACAAGGGACAGGGGGATTACGGAGCTGAGAGAGCTGAGATCTGATCCCAAGTAGACTTCTTCTGAGCCTGGCATATTAAACATTATAATATTTGCCTAATTGAATTAATTTTTTGCACCTCATAAAGTAAGAATTTGGGTCAGAAAATGCAGTGGGGTCTATTACTAAATATTGGGTCAGGTAATGCAGTGTGGGGTGGATTACTTACTATGTGACATACACATGGAATTTAAACTACATTTTCAAGGATACTTATTTTCAAAACAAAACACGATATATAATTTCACTTTGTGAACAAAACATTTTCTTACACAATTAATTTGAAGTAATTAGAATAGTGTTATCACTCTTTTCTAACAATAATAATAAATTGTGTCTTCCAAAATGTCAAAATTGGTTTTTGTACATTGTGAAATGATTATATTTTAATCACTGTTATTGTATGATATTCATAATATACTGATACAGTATAACATATTTACAAATAGCATTTATCATGTGACATGCCAAAACGATGAAAAATAGAATTAACTTCTGAAGGATTTGGGAAAAAAATGTATATTACTGCAAAAGAAGTTTGTAGGGAAAAAGAATCATTAATGTTTCTGTCGTAAAATTTTGTAGTTCCATATAAGCGTCAACTCAGCTGCCTTATAAGACTTACAAATAAATTCAATACCTGTCTAGATTTTAGAAATGTGAAATATAAATATTGATTTCATTCTCAATATTTACTCTCTCATATTTATTATTGTCTTATTTTTTTTGCTCACATATAAGCTTCCTACATTTTCACTCTTATTGAGCATTGCGCAGGTGAACAGTAAAAATCCGTTAATAAAACAATTAGTCTTTCTTTTATGTATAGTCAAGGAATGATTGAATTTTTAGACTGGCTTCAGTAAATCCATTTAAAATTTTTTTTGCATGCTGCATGCACATCCATTAGTCTCTGTTTTGCAAAGCCGTTTTCTTCTTTAGTCCGTGGTCCTTTATTACAGGCAGGCTATTTCTACTCGAGTTACAAGGACTTCTTATAGGGTGGTATTATTTGATTATGTCATTTTACTTACCTTTTTCTTTGCACATTTTAACAAATTATCAGGATTCAAAAATTGACTATGAGAAATCAGCCTTAAAAATTTGTTTTCGAAATGCTGAATTTGGCTGTTGAATAGGGAATCTTCTCAAGACAATGTTCTTTTGCAGGCAGATCAAAGCTCATCTGTAAGGACTATTAAAACCTGAGTTTTTAGGTGTTCAGACGATGGTCATTTCTGAGTTTTTCTTTGGACGCTGACCCTGACCCTGACCTGAAGACCTAAACATTTTGGGAACCAAAAATATTTTTGATTATTCACAGAAAGAACACAGTGGCTGTAGGATAATATTTGGCCTTGGTGACAGGTGACAGTTGATCTTTTCCTTGTGTAATTTAGAAATGGAAACTGAAGGATATTGGATGTCCTTTTTTAGTTCACTCTTGGAGCAAAAAGTGTTCCTGGAAGATCTGAGACTGTGTCTATAAAGTTTATCACTAAACCAATAACAGAAAGATAAGGAAATTCAAACAAAATTTTATTACATATACTGTAGCTTAAAAGTACCTTTATTTTAACCTCACAGTGAGGAACAACGACAGAGTGTTCTCAAACAATAAATTACTTACAGCATAAAAATACTTCATCTTTTAAATATATATCTTAAGAAGCAGTCCAAATGAAATTCTTCACTTGTCAGCTATTTTTCCTGGCAGGTGTCATTATGAGTTGTCTTGCTTTATAGCCTTTTCCTATAGGTAAGGCAGAGAGAAACTTCAGTCCAATCACTGATTCCTTAGGTGGTAGTTAGGGCTGAGGCACAGACTGCAGGATGGCTAGGGACACAAGAACTGGCCGCCAATCATGGAGTTGTGCTTCTTGGTGCTCTGGACTCTAGGCTAGGAGAGGATGACCCGTCCTTGGCTAGTAGAAGCTTGTTCATATATCCCCATTTACAGGTTTTACAGATCCTTGTGGCTGGTGAGATTTCCACATTATCCTGGGCTTTGTGGTAAAAAGCTGAAGTGAACTCTGCTCCATTGTCACTTTGGAAGATACATGGGGCACCTAGCAAGCAGAAAAAATATTATCTGGTATGTAACCTCAGTTACAGTTAGAAGATAGGGGTCTCAGTGCACAAATAATGATCAAAGGAGCATAGATTTGTAACATTCACTACAAACTCTGAATTTGACCTATCTGCAAGATAAGCAATCTACTAGGTCAAATATAATGGGAGTATTCTTTGTGGTTGCTTGGTTACTATATTATGATGACTGGTAATTTGGTAATCAAGGGATAAAAAATTAGATGAAAACTGGTGCTCTGAATATCTCCAACCTTGGTTCTTTTCCATGGAAATGAAGCTCTCTTAAAATGTTCACTTTCTTAGGCTTATAATAAGGTCTACATGTTTAATTTATTTCCTCATTTCAAAAATATAAGGGGGAAATTGTATTTATAAAGTCATAGGTGGTGCTTATATTCATGTACTGTGTACAAATATCACACATACATCTGGCTATCAATCTTTGTCATTCTCTCCATTAGTCCAGAAATTGTGAGCAAGAATTGGTTGAAATCATTGACTCTTTCCCTTTTTAACTTAACTATGAAAGGTCTAATTGGAAAATCTCATTAGCCAAGTCTTTCTAAAGGAGTAGTGACAGTAATGTTCCTTTATTATTTTTTTATTATTCCAAAGTCATTTTTTATTCTTCCCAAACCAGCTATTTCATAGAACTTACATCCTATATTAAACATGAGAAAAATGTGTATTCATTGTAAAGTATATATGGTCATTTTTATAAAACAGACAGCTTTCAGGGGAATTTCACTAAATGTATTGTGGATGCTATTGGATGTCCACTAAAAGAAATGGTTCTAGAAAATAAATGCAAAGTTGAAAATGTTTTACTCCAAGTGTCTAATAGAAATACAATATTTTATTCTGATAAACGAAGTGAGTAAAATTTGAATGGAACGGCAAAATGTAAGCTTGATGAAATTGTGCTCTTTCGTGGCCCCTTCTTTGGCAGCATATAGATGACTAAAAACATGGGTAAAGCCTCAGAGCTAGAATGACTCTTGTCAGTAGTAATGAGTGAGGACTGCAGGGTATGGAGAGCCCACAAGGATGCCAGTGGCTTTTGTTATAATTCAGAGAAGCCCAATGAATAGCACATAAGATTCTAAACTTTTTAAAGCAGGGTTTTTTTTCCTTGTTTTTCTTTTACCATAGGATTACAGAGTGAATATCTTTCTTCGTCAGAAATGGAATGACCCTCGCCTTGCCTATAGTGAGTATCCTGATGACTCCCTGGACCTGGACCCTTCCATGTTGGACTCCATTTGGAAACCTGATTTGTTCTTTGCCAATGAAAAGGGTGCCAACTTTCACGAAGTTACCACAGACAACAAATTGTTAAGAATTTTCAAGAATGGAAATGTTCTTTATTCAATAAGGTGAGTCATAGACACATTCCTGATTTCAGTGAAATGGAGTGTTTTTTTTAAGGTTTTGGTGAGAGTTTTGAAATCTTTGAGTCGGTGCTTTTATTGTTCTACTTGAGTTCCTCTAATATCCCATTTCCCAAATATGTCTAATCAGCAATCACAGACCTGCTTCCAGATCCAGGAACTACATGAGTAATTCTCGGAAATCTACTTTTTTAACAAGTGGCCCAGGTTCTTAACATGAGCCCATTGGTGGGTGGCTTAAAGGGAAATTAAATGATAGTTGAATCATCTGCTGTGATTATATTTTTATGTATGCATGCTTCCTTTAAATATTTATAGGTAAAGAAATATTTAGATTTGCTTGTCTTGGATCCATTTTCCATAAGTTATTTTTCAGGTATATGTATTTTTTTTAGATCTTTTTAAGTTTCTCTCGTCATCCTTTTGCCTTTTTCATTCTAGTGGTCCACTTTCCATCCTTTCTAATGTGCTGCAAGTGGTGATTTATTGATGAACTTTGAAGAAGGCAAGGAAGAAAAACAAATCACTATAATATGTACAAATGGATAACAATCAAAACCTTTAATCCAATCCCTAGAAAAGATGTTATTTAAATTTTATTTACTTATTATACATCTCTCAGAAAACCAAGTAGTCTTTTAAAACTAATACCAAAACACAACAAAAATTAATACCAAAATATAAACACTAATAAGAAGATCCTTTGACAGTTGAAATTTAGGCTACTTATTAAGTATCAAGCAGGTATAAATTCAGGAAATAGCTACTTACAGTGATATGCTTGATGATTTGTGTCACACCAGAAAAATAGTCTAAAATAAAATGATTATCTTAAATCTTCCATAATTATTTTCTTCATTTAGTTCAATTTAAAAAAACAGGAAGTCAGGAGCAGGATTCATGTCATATTTCTTATGAGAAAGAGAATATGCCCCACTTATAGTAAGAGGCAACTGTTTCAAAAATATTCGTATCACCAGTAACCATGTTTTAAAAGGTGTCAAGGTGAACTTAATACTGAACCTTTAGGCTGAACATTGATTCCTTATATTTTCTCTCTCTATTTTCCCTTTTGTTAAGTTTTCCTCTCACAAGGAATGAGGATATTTGATTTTGAGTTCATCTCCCCAATATCAGAGACAATTGCTATTTTTTCCAGGTAATATTATAAAATAGAAATAACAAGAATGAAAATTTAATCTTAGTAGCTGATTTCAAAAACTTTTTTCTACAAAGTGGTTTTATAAATAACGCTAATTTCTTCATCCCAATATATTTATCTGCTTTTCATATGTTCCTATTTTATGTAAACAAATTTCCTTTCAATATATGTCTTATTTCTTAAGAGTGACAAGGTGACATCACTCTAAAGTGAACTGATACTTTCATCAGATTTCCGAAAACCAACTAATATGCGTTAATATTATCTTGAATGATTAATTGCTACATGAGACATAAAGGAAGATTTCAAGTCTCAACAGTAATTAAGCCCTTGTGCTCCCATATGAATGAGTAACTTAACGGTGAATCCCAGGTCTAAACAAGAGAATTTTGAACATTTTTGGAAAATTGCTAAAAAGCACAAGTATCAGAAGATAGTGGGAAGATGGAGCAGACATATTTTCCCCTTTTCCTTCTGCTAAGTACAATAAAAACCCTAGACAAAATATATGTAACAATGTTAAGGAGACTTCCAATGGCAGACGTAGGAAGGCCTTGGAAACTGAGAAACAATATGGAGGTGAATTCACGGAATTTTCTTTTTTTTTTTTTGTATATCTCAAACTTGGATGAAGAAGCCAATCAACCTGGAAACACCAATAGGTACAGACAAAAAGTCTGAACAGAACCCAATTTCTCTAGCCATTCTAACATTCTGTAGATATTAGGAAAGGGGCAACCTAGCAAGACAGAAAACCTTTAGACAACTGCTCTGCTCCAGCCAAACATCTAAGGAAAAGATTTGAGCCCACCCACACTCAAGCCAGCAAAGCCCAAGTGTGAAGCCCAGACTTCCAGTCTTGCTAGGTGGTGATAAGTCACCCAACACCCACGTCAAGGTGGTGCTAGGAAAAGCTAAATAGTGAGCTTGATTTTTATGTCCCACCAGCCCGTAATGAGTCTCCCACCTTGCAGTGTTAATGGAGACCACATGGAGAGCCAGTAATTCCACCTTCACTCAATAGTAACAAGGCACCTCTATCCCTCCCCACTAGGGTAGTGTCAGTGAAGTCCTAGGGGAAAGTCAAGACTTTCAAAATCACCCAGTCCAAATAAGGCCACTCCCACCATGGTGTCAGTGAAGGACACGTGAGGAGCTGGAACACTCAGCAGTAATAAGGAATCTCGTCCCTTGTATGTCAGTGGAGGCTGATTAGGGAACCTGGAGTTCTACCTCTATCTGGAAGCAACAACATAGCACCCACCTTGTCCTGACAGCACAGTGTAAGAGAAAGCCAGTGTAGACAGAAAATTTAAATAAGATCCAGAGTCTCTTAAAATAATATAAAAATAACTAGGCTTCCATCAAAAATTAATCATTATACAAAGAGCCAGAGATTCTCAAACTGAATGAAAAAAAGACAACTGATGCCAATATCAAAATGATAAGGATGTTAGAAATATCTGACAAAGATTTTAAGTGATCATGATAAAAATGCCTCAGTGAGCAATTACAAATATGCTTGAAATACATGAAAAAATAGAAAGCCTCAGCAAAGAAATAGAAAATATAAAGTAGAACCAAATGAAAATTTTAGGACTGAAAACACAAGAACCAAAATAAAAATCTAGTAGATGGGCTCAATAGAAAAATGGAGAGAATACAGGAAAGAATCAATGAGCTGTAAGATAGAATAATAAAAATTAGTCATTCTGAACAATGGAGAAATTAGATTGCGGGAGGCAGAGGCTCAGGGTCCTGTGGTAGTACAATAAAGGATCTCATATTCATGTCTTCAGAGTCTCAGATGGAGAGTGAGAATAGCTTATAGAGCTAACAACAAATTAGGGAAAATTAATGGCTGAAATTTTTATAAATTTTGCAAAAAGTATAAACCTACAGATTCAAGAAGTCGAATAGACCCCAAAGATATTCATGCTAAGTCACATCATGCACAAACTTCAGAAAGCTAAGTAAATATCCTGAAAGCATTCAGAGAACAATACTACCTTACCTATAGGGGAAAAACAATTAGAATGATAGGAGATTTCTCATCAGAAACCATGGAGGCCAGAAAGAAGTGATATATATTCTTCAAGTGTTGAAAGAAAGGAACTGTCATCCTAGAATGTTGTACCCAGTGAAAATATCATTCAGGAATGAGGCAGAAATCAAGACATTCTTGGAAAAAGAAAGCCAACAGAATTTGTCATAAGAGATCTACCCTGAAGTCACAGCTAAAGGAAGTTTCCTAAACAGAAAGAAAATGATAAAAGAAAGAACATTGGAACATCAAGAAACAAGAAAGGAAACAATAGCAAAAATTTGAATAAATACAATAGACTTTTCTTCTCATCTTGAGTTTTCTAAATTATATTTAACAATTGAAGCAAAAATTATAACATTGATGTAGGGGGAAATGTAAAGTAACAAATAAAACATTTTCATAAACACATTGGCAGAAATTAACAAGGCTGGTAATATTTAGTGGTGGTTGTGGGACTTTTTGTGGGTATATGACTTGACATTAGCTGTTTGGGAAAATGATTTGTTAGGATATATAAAAATACAAAATTCCTTTGTCCTTCAAATCAGCAATTCTATTTCTAGGAATTTAAATTACTTATGCATTCATGTGTACATAAGATACATTTACAAAGATGCATTTGTAAAGATGCACTCGGCACCACTGAAATAACAAGAAATGAAACTCTATATAGTCATCAATAAGAACAAAGCAGAGCACAATGATAACCCCATATCATGAAATACCCTGCATGAGATATAACTAAATGCATTCATAAGAAAAAGCCTCCAAACTATATTTGTTTAAGGTAAATGTTTTATATTTATTTTTATTTAAAGTACCTTATATACGTAAGCATAACTGTGTATGTAAAAATACACATACACGTAAATCCATATAGGAAATTCATAAGGACGCCCAACAATTGGTTGAGAATAACCAACTATGGAAATGAGCAGTAGAATTTGCATAGGAGTAAAGGTGAACTGCATATGTAAGTTTACATTGTTTGAAATTTTCAGAAAAAGCTATGTATTATTTATGAATTAAATACATATATTTTAAGTGACAGAGGCTCTTAACCTGAGGTCATGATCCTTGACTCTTTCGTGTTGCAGATTCATGATGAATATCAGGGAACCCATGACAGGGTGTAAATAAAGCAAGTTTAATTCTATTCCTGCTAATTTGAAAATTAACTTTGTGAAAAGTATAATTTATTTTTAATTATAAAGTACTGTTTCATTTCAGGCAGATTTTGGATGGCACAGTTTGCAAGAATATATCACCAGGTAGCAGAGTATAATCATTTTGCAAAGTTATAATGTCTAGAATATTTCCATTGATAGAATTGAAATATAATGTGCATGTGTGTATCCTATATGATTATGGATACTTAGTCGTTCATATCGTCTTATTGGAATTGGAAAATGATGCCATTTATTTTGAGTTGCTCCCATTTCTAATATTTTGAGGAAAGTTATGGAATAATTTAGAATTGCATCTTTTGTATTTCAGTATGAATTCAGTTGAAACAGATGATGTATCTTGGCTCCTAGTTTTTGTTTGCTGTATTCTGGCTCACACAATCAAAGAATAAATTAATTTTTTGTGAGTTGTTTTTGGAAATCTCACAGGACTTTGAAATTTTCAAATGGCAAACAGTTTCTCTGTTAACAAAAGTTGCGCTAGAGAAAAAATCTCGTTCAATTTATAAATGGAACTTCTGTGATGTTTCATGAGAGACCTGGCTTTGCTGCTTGTTTAAAGAAAGAAATAGAATGTCCTGGCAACCTT